TCTACTCGCCGCTTTGTTTCACCTCTTCTCTAAACTCTCAGCTCTTTCTTCGGTTTCTCTGTTTCCATCCTACGTTCTCTTCTCTTTCTCTTATTCTCTCCTCACTCCTCATCTCCTTGTTTCCTTCGTTTCTTCTAATCTTAATCTTAACTTTTTCTTTGTCTCTCCTTCCTTCCTTCTCTCCTCTCTCTCTCTCTTATTCTCTCTGTCTCTCCACTCCTCATCTCTCCTGGATTCCTACTTTTCTTCTAATCTCATCTCCTCTTTCCGGTTTCCTCTCTTCTTCTTTTTTTTTTTTGTCTTCTCTCTTCTCTCCTTCCTTCCTTCCTTCCTTCCTTCTCTCTTGTCTTTCTCTCTTATTCTCTGTATCTCTCCTCACTTCTTATTCCTACCTTCTTTTTCCTAAGCTCCTCTCTCTCTGTCTCTCTGTCTATCTTCTAATCTTGTCTCCTTTTTCTGGTCTCTTCTCTTCTTTTTCTTTGTCTTCTCTCCTTCCTTCCTTCCTTCCTTCCTTCTCTTCTCTCTCTCTTATTCTCTCTATCTCTCTTCATCCCTACCTTCTTTCTCCTAAGCTCCTCTGTTCTTTTTGGTCTCCTCTCTCTTCCCTCCTTCCTTCTCTCCCCTCTCTCTTTCTCTATTACTTTCTCGTCAGCTCCTCTACTTTCTCTCTCCTCGTCTGCCTCCTAACTCCTAATCTCCTCTTTCCTTTCTCCTTCTTTGGCTTCTCTTCTTCCTTCTCTTCTCTCTCTTATTCTCTCTATCTCTTCTCACTCCTCATCTCTCCTGGTTTCCTTCTTTTCTTCTAATCTCATCTCCTCTTTCCGGTTTCCTCTCTTCTTTTTCTTTATCTTCTCTCATCTCTCCTTCCTTCTCTCTCTCTCTCTCTCGCTCTTATTCTCTCCTTACTCCTCATCTCTCCCCTCTTTTTCTCTTTGTCTCCTATCTCCTAATCTCCTCTCTTCTTTTTGGTCTTCACTCTCTTCCTTCTGTGTTTTCTCTCTTCCCTCCTTCCTTCTCTCCCCTCTCTTTCTCTATTACTCTCTTTCTCACACATCAGCTTCTCTACTTTCTCTCTCCTTGTCTCCCTCCTTGTCTCCTAGCTCCTAATCTCTGCTTTCCTTTCTCCTTCTTTGTCTGCTCTTTTTCCTTTCTTCTCGTCTCTCTCTTAATCTCTCTGTCTCTTTCTTCACTCCTCATCTACTTTCTCTGTCCTTGTCTCCTCTCTCCTAATCTCCTTCTTTTATCTAACCATCTCTGTCCTCTCCTCTATTCTCTCATCAGTCCTTCCTTCTCTCCTTTTCTCCTCACTCCTCTTCTCTCTACTGTGTCTCTCATCTCTTTTTTTGCCTCCTCTTTTTCTCCCTCTTCTCCCACTCCTTCAATTTCTCATTTCTCCCAATTCCCTCTTTCCCTTCTCCACTCTCCTTCTTTGCCTCCTTGATCCCCTTTTCTCTCCTCTACTTTCTCTCTACTCGACTCCTTCTTGTCTCCTATCTCCTAATCTCCTCTCCTCTTTCTAGTCTCCTCCATCCTTCTCTCTTCTTTTTCCTTTTCTCTCTCTTTCTTATTTTCTCACTCCTCATCTCCTCTCTTTCTCCTCCTCCTTTCATTCTTTGACTTCTCTCTAACCCTCCGTACCGTTCCTCGCTCCTTCCTTCTCTCCCTCCCTCTACTATTTTATTTTCTTGTTTCCTCTGCTTTTTTTGTCTCCTCGCTCCCTCCTTGACCCCCTCTATCTTTCCTTGTCTCGTATTTTCTAATCTTATCTTTCCTTTCTCCTTCCTCTCCCCTAAATAAGGAAAATAGCCTCCGTTCTACCCCTTCTTTTCTCGCTTCACTCCTCCCTTCTCTCCTTTCAACACTCTTCACTCCTTCTCCCATCTACTTTGTCTCTCCTCTCCTAGTCTCCTTCGCTTTCTCCTTTCTCTATCCTGTTTTCTCCCCCTCTCTCATTGCTTTCTTTGTCTTTTTCTCACATTACTCCTTAGTTCTTTCCCCTCTCTCTCCTCATCTCATCTAGTCCTCATTTTCTCTCCTCTACTTTCTTCCTTTCCATCCTTGTCTCCTCTCCTTCTCTCCCTTCCTCCATTTCTCTCTCTCCTCTTTCCCTCCATGTCTAATCTCTCTTTCATTGCTCCCCACTCTCTCTTCTGTCTTCTTACTTGTCTCTTGTGTCTTTTTACCTCTATTGTCTCTCTTATTTGTCTAATCCCTCTCTTTCTTGCCCCCCCCCCCCCTTCCTTGCCCGCCTCGCTCTCTCCCCCTGTCTCCTCCCCTCCTCTCTCTTCATCTTTTTGGTCTCCTCTCTCCTTTCTTGCCTTCCTCTCTCCCTCTTTATTCTTCTCTTCTTCTTCTCTCTCTCTCTCTTCTTTTTGGTTTCCTCTTTCCTTCCTTGCCTTCCTCTCTCTCTCTTTTTATCCATCTCTTCTTCTCTCTCTCTCTCTCCTCTCCTCCCCTTCCTGCCCATTCTCTCCTCCTCCTCTCTCTTTCTCTCTCTCTCTCTCTCTCTCTCTCTCTCTACCTCCTTTTGGTCTCCTCTCTCCTCCCCATTCTGTCCATTTCCTCCTCCTCTCTCTCTCTCTCTCTCTCTTCCTCTACCTCTTTTTGGTCTCCTCTCTCCTTCCTTGCCTTCCTCTTTCTCTCTTTATCCTTCTCTTTCTCTTCTTCTCTCTCTCTCTCTCTTTTGGTTACCTCTCCCCTCCCCTTTTTCTCTCTCTCACTTCTTTTTGGTCTCCTCTCCTTCTTTGCTCCCCCCCTCTCCTTCTCTCTCTCTCTTCTTTTTGGTCTCCTCTCTCCTTCCTTGCCCTCCCTCCTCTCTCTCCCCCTCCCCTCCCCTCTCTCTCTCTCACTTCTTTTTGGTCTCCTTCTTTACCCCCCTCCTTCTCTCTCTCTTTCTCTCACTCTCTTCTTTTTGCTCTCCTCTCTCCTTCCTTGCCCTTCTTTTCCTTTCCCTCTCTTTTTTTTTTTTTTTTTTTTTTAATCTCCTCTCTCCGTCCTTGCTCGCCCCTGTCCCCCCCCTCCCCCTCCTCTGCTGAATTCCTCGGTGTTGCGGTTGACAGGCGCTCATCATCAGCAGGTACCGAAGCCCGGGAGGATCAGATTTCCTGCTCTCAGCCTCGTAGTGCTACATGTGCATTTTCACAGCTCTGCAGTGCATCACACAAGTATTCAGACAGATGTCCTAGTGCAGGTCAAACTCCCTCAGCTCTGGTGTGACCTCGGCAACGCTCCGGTGACTAATGAGGAACTGTAAGTCGCCCACATATATAACGAGGATGGCCTAATGAATCCATGACTAATTAAGGCTGTTAATTGTTACTGTTACTTGAGTCTGTTTAATCGACAACTCTACAGCCAATTCTCTTTAGATCGAGAAATGTGCTTGTTGAAAATCGCCCAGCCGTATAATCACGCTCCTGCTGAAAGGAAAATATACCGTAAATTCCGAACTATAATCCTTTACTTTTTTCTCACACGTTGAACCCTGCGGCGAATATACGGACGGATTCTTTGTTTGGCACATTCTCCGTTCATATATACGGTCTATGGTTTGGCGACACAGCGGGTACAGAGTGCAGAAAACGTTACTAACTGTGCAGTTCACACATGGATCTAGGGTTGCAACGCTAGCTAAAGACACTCAAATTGTTTATCGTTGTGTGATAAAATAAGTTATGATACTGATTGAACATTAGAGAGGAGGATACGTCTTACCCGTATGTGTAAATGATGAGAAAAAACGTCTCAAACTTCAGTAGCCGGACATCCGCTCATACCTGATTGATAAAACTAGCCCCGCCCCCGAGAGAGACTGAAATCTGCTGAAATCCTACAAGACTCTGACATGATAAAAACAGGACAGTGGCTCTTTCTGCAGGAGACATGCGCAGTAGTGCAAGGAGAGACGGGGGTGATGTGCCGAGGAACATTCTAGTTTGATTGTGTTGTGAACAGTTATTTTGCATGTATCGATATATCGCCCCCGATATATCGATATATCATATTTTACTAAATTATTTTGTTACAGCTACAGTTTTCTTGATTGTTTAGAGGAAGGAAGCTCTTTTATGCAACACATTTGACATATTCCGTTTTGATGATTAAAATGTTTGTGTTGTTATCGTCTCAACTACAGCTCAGGGTGCCAATTTTTGAAAAGAGGTGGGGTCCAATTATTGACTTTTTCAAATTACACTTATGCCCTCATATGCCTTATCTTTATTATTATTATTATTATTTTTACCTATTGTTTGTTTTTTTCCATTTTTCTTCTAGAAAGAGCGGAAAATTTAATTAAATGTATACATTGTGTGAAAGCCCTGTCTCAGAATTGATTTGTGACAATAAAAGTTACACTTAAAAAAAAAAAAAAAAAATATTATTATTATTATTTTATGTTTCATATTAGCTTTGCACAAGAAGTGGTTTAACAAAGACTTTTAGTATCACAACCATGATTTAACTTTTATTTTTTATTGAACCATATCGAATCGATTTGAAATATATCGAATCTAAAGCTCACTGTATTGAGGTATGTATCGTATCGTTGCCTACGTATCAAGGTCTGTATCGTATCGGCAACTTCTTAATGATACCCAGCCATTGTTAAAATTGTGTAATATGGGCCCTTTAAGACAAACTATTAAAAACATTATAAGGTTCATCATGGAATATGTCCCAAAACAGAAAGAAAACTAAGAGAGGGCAAATGGTCTTTCATTTTAATAATAAGTCAATACTGGACTTAACCTACAGTATGTGTGACTGTCTAAATAAATACATTGATTTAACCTGTATTTTTTGTCTTGTTCAGTTTGAGCCTGGTTTGGTCCTGGTTTAGTCCTGATCCGGCCTAGCACTGGAAGCCCATATTTAGTCCTGACTTGAACTTATTTTTGCTGCTGTATTTTGCCTCCACATCCACAGTAACCATATCTTTCTGACTAATTACCGGCTGTAAGTCTTAAACTCATGTATTTTCCTGTTTTTGTTTTTTTCAGATGTGGACGAGTGCTCGGAGGGGAACGGCGGCTGTCAGCAGATCTGTGTGAACATGATGGGCAGTTATGAGTGTCGCTGTAGAGAGGGCTTCCTCCTCAGTGACAACCAGCACACCTGCATCCAGAGGCCCAAAGGTCAGTCCCTGCACAGCAAGTGTAAGTCTGCTACCAGCGCAACATGTTTTCATCTCTACTTTATTCTCTTCAGTAGTACATAGTGTAGTTACTGCATGCAAATTGTTATTATTACTCTCAGTAGTTTATTGTGTATTAAAGTGGCTGTACCCAGTTATCTTCATGTAACTGAGAAAAAATAGTTTTGCCATAGCACAGATATAATGTAAAAGCAGCTCTGTATAAAAAAGTGGACAAAAGGAGTATGACTTCACCCATAGCTCCACTCAAATGAGGCTCATGAGGCTAACAGTTATAAGAGCAATTTCATTGAATATTTATGGACAAAATAACTGTGCAGAGTGGGTTTATGCGAACATTTTAAGACCAAAATGATGAGAGTCGCTACAGCCGTTACAGAGAGAAGGGTGACAATTTTTCAAAGTAAAGTCAACTGAAGCCAGAGTCGATGGAGCCGAAAGTGCCCCCATGCTCACTTCCTATTTGGCACGTGGCAGCTACCGGGTTAGCTTTGTCCATTTATATGTTCTGTCTATGGGTTAAAATAGACTAACGTGTACTATCTGACTGCGTGTAATTATTAACCAATTTATACTTTGCATTCCTGCCAAAAGTGTTTATAAACGCATTGGATGAACAATTAGGATTAGGAATGCATCAGGAAGGTGATAAATAAGTTTGGCCCATACTGCAAAACATTTTTAAACGAAGTAGTTCTGTTTTTCATGTTTTAAAAATCAGATACAGGAACTTTAAGAGCTGATATTACAATTGTAGTTGATCTTTTTGCAGTGCATCTAAAATGTTACCTGTGCCTATAATCTTGGGTGAGGTTCAAAAAGTTAATGCAAAATCTAAACACAAAAGTGAAGACATATCATTTTGTACCTCTGTTTTGCAGTTTCTATTCAGGTCATTGCATTAAACATCCCAATTTCGATAATATCTTGTAGATAAGCCATGGCTGCATTTTTGATTTGATCACAATTCATGCCCAAATTGTTTTATTTTGTCTGCAAGAGGTAGGTAAGTCTTCTTCTTGGAGGACTGTGTCAAGTTAGCCAGGATGGCGCCACCTAGTACCTCCGCTCAGTTTCATTGCTCTCCAGCGAATATGTCAGGACTCGGAATACACTAGGTGGTTTGCAAGAACCCTGAAGTTGTAGACCGTGCACCGGACAATCAGGGAAGAGCTGTGAAGCCATGACTGGGTCCCATTTGTGGTACAGCACAACGGTAAACAAAGCGGTCGAAATGGATGTAGACGAAGCCATACATTCTGTGTTGGCAACGATTGTAACAAAGAGAATGTTTGGTGAATTATATCAAGGGGAAAAATGTTATTGCCCTTCTTCCGATGGGATTTGGGAAAAGCTTAATATACCAGTTAGCCCAGATAGCAGTTCATTACATTCAACCAAATAGCAGCGATTGGTTAAATAAAAAAAACAAAAAACAAAAAAACAAAAAACAAAAAACCACCTACTGTCGAGCAAACTAATCCTAATGCTGCGAGGTCAGACAGTTTCCACAAAGTGAAACTGGCTGATGAATCAGGCTAGTATCAAGTAACAAAAGCTTTACAAAGGAGGGGACAAATGAATTAGGGGTGTGCAAAAATATCCAAATATCAGTGTATCTTAATACTAACTTTGGTGATACATTATCGTTATCATGGGCTGCTGTATCGATCACATCAGACATTTTTGTATCTTTTTCACTGTTTTGATGATTAAAATATGTCATTAACTTTGCACATGTAGTGGTTTAACAAATACATGTAGTTATTAAAATGTATTTGGTTCTTAAAAAACAGCAATGTATCACAGAGTATCATGCAATATATTTATTAATGCCTGCATCGTCGTATTATATTGTGAGGGAAAATGAATTGCTTGGAATACAAAAGAAGTGGTCTGTGATCGACTTTAACTCAAAAAGCACTTGGTTATGTAAGAATGCATGGATATCTGGCTTTGCAGTGTTAAGTATTTCCAATAGTCAGGACTTGAACAGTCGATAGAGTTTGTTGTGAGAAAAGCTCTGCTGCTTGCTGGTGGGGCTCCGTTGGCCTGTCTCGTTTCATCAGTCAGCAGCTTTAAAGGGATGGTGCGGCATTGTTAAAGGTGCTTGTAGGTACTTGGGGACGCATAACTTTTTATCCACATAAGGCATCTTCACTGTGTTTGTAGATGCGGATAGAAACAAAAGCATGTGATTTGTGCTGGAGGTACATGAAAGCAACTTAAAAAACAAACAAACAAGAAAAAAAAACCCTAGCAAGCCTGAATATTATAGCAGTACAGCTCAGAGCACAACACATCCTTTTAACTTTAGCAACGCAAATGGGCCAGTCACTTGTGTTCTTTGTGAACATTAGAGTTTATTCTCTGCTCAGTGAGAATTAACAAACAACATCTCCTCACCAGCATAATGGTTCAAGAGCCTGTACCAACGAAATCCGTCTTGCCCCAGTTCAGAAATATTGTATAAGCAGCTCTTTAGTTCAAAATAGGTCAGTGGCATGCTGTGTTCATCTAATGATAAAGCAATTGAAAGCAAGAGTTTAGAAATCTGTCTTGAAGTTGAAGTGTTTTGTGTGTATGCTGGAAGTCACAGTCAGCCCTCTGAGTGGACCTATATGGTTTAACTGAAACACATGTAATTAAGATGTGCACTCTCCAGGCCTGCAGAGTCTGACAATGTCTCTGTCTCTGCCATGTCTCTCTTCTCTGTTACACTCTTAAAATATGTCTGCTAACAATTATTTATTTGGTCACATTTTTATACAGCGCTTTTCCACCTTCAAGGCAACAAGGAACCACTCATCCATTCACACACCAGTGTATGCAGATTCTGGGGGTGAGGTGGGTGGGTTAAGTGTCTTGCCCAAGGACACAACAACAGTATTCATCTGTGAGAGCTGAAATCACGCCAGCCAACCTGTGGGTCAGTGGGTGTGGCTGCTCGACCCATGATGTTTATGTTGAGAGTGGATTTGAACCAGCCTGATTCATCAGACTGTTTCACTTCGTGGAAACCGTCAGACCTCGCAGTGTTAGGATTCGTTTTCTCGACCTTAGGTGGGTACTTTTTTCATTTAACCAACAGCTGCTATTTGGTCATAACGTATGTAATGCGCCGCTAACAGGGCTAACTGGTATATTAAGCTTTTTCCAAATCCCACAGGAAAAAGGGCAATAACATCTTTCCCTTTGACAAAATTCACCAAACATTCTCTTTGTTCTGGCTTTAAATCCTCGATCTTGGGGGTCGTTGCCCACACAGAATGTATGGCTCTTCACTGATTGGCTGCTGCCCAAACTTGCACTTCTGTTGTTTTTTTTACCTGACCTAGTTTCCGGAGAGAAATGAAATTGAGCAGAGGCACTAGGTGGCGCCAGCCTGGCTAGATTCAAACCGCCAACCTTCAGATCAGTGGACGAACGCTCTATCAACTGAGCTACTGTTGTCCTTTATTGGTTTTTGATGTTATTTATTGAACATCAACCACCATCTCCCTATATCAGCAATTATTGACAATCTGGAAGTGCACATTAGCTTACTAGTTGTTGTTCGTTTTACTCTGGTCTGGTCTTTCAGAGTTGGTTGGTCTCTCAGAATGCACATAGTAAGTGAGGATTAACTAGTTCTGTTTTTAAGTTTTTAAGTTAAGTCAAGTTGATAGTATTGCACAATTCATACACGCAGTCATTCAAAGTGCTTAGAATCACAATTTTCAAAAATCAGGTATAGTGCCTTTAACTCTGGTGCTGTAAATGGACCAATGACTTTTCTGTTCTTTGTGAAGTTTATTCTCCGGCTCAGTGAGAATTAACAAACAAAATCTCCTCACCAGCATGTTATAGTTATTGTAGACTTTATTGTCCATGAAATTTCTTGCTTGAATTTCACTTATCTTTCAATGCTTCTTTGCAGGCTGGTTTGTGTCAGTGAAACTCAATCAGCATGAGCAGAGCATGCAAAGTCCACAAATCAGCCTTACGTATCGGCCTAAAATATCGGAATACCGGTTGCACTGGATTCTAAACAATCAGTATCGGCACTGGAGGTGAAAAACTGGAAATGAATAGTTTTCAAATCCACAACCTTTGGATTCTGTTCCACTACTCAGTCAGAATTCAAGTAAATGTTCAACTGATAAAAATTCTCTGGGGTTGTGATGCAAACTGAAGGCACTGCTCTGTCTGAAGATCTGTTATTCAAAATCAAACTCCTAAACGGAACCATAAACGCTCACATTGATCACAGGCTCCTGAAAATGTGCTGTTTAAATCTGTCTTGCATCTTTTTTCTTGAGTTTTCAGACAGTCGTAAAACTTTTTTTGATGTGCATTGTGTTACCATGGCAACTCCTAAACATTCCACCATTTGAGATACACGCAGAACACCCCCAGTATGACGTTACTGCAAAGTGTAGGTGATACTTGGTTGCAGAGTTGTTAGTACAGATACTTGGCTTTTATTCTAGTAGGTACATTTCCACTGGTGGTTTGGAGAACTGCCTAACTACTTGTCTAAACAAAATTAAAGACACAATCGCGTTATACACAAGGTTCTATCACGAAACAATTTATCCTGGAAGTGTCTGACATCCAAAACTGCTGTGCATCTTCAAAAACTACAATCATCTGTGTATAAACTTGTAGCTGCTTTGAAAACCACTGCCTCTGTGACTAAGGAGGGTTAAATATTTGGCCGGTGATGCAGCGCTCGAGCCAATTATTCCTTATCAAAGCCTTTTAGAAGAGTTCATGACTTGTGCACTTCTAAGTCCTTTTGTAGCACAGGATGAGCCCCAACAAGCCACGATGAAAAGCCGAGCAGCGCAAGCATCTCCAGGTCTGAGGGGATAAAAGAAATCAGGGATAAATGCCTTTTTGTTTTCTTTGCACACTTTTAAATTGAACGAGCACGGAGCTTGGCAGCAGTCGGAGCTATGTGTGGATTGGAGTGCGCCTGAGGGGGACTGAGAGCAGAGAAAACAATTAAAGAGCAGG